CGGTCTCATATTTGCCAGATTCTGTCATATACCATTTTTTATGATGGTTAAATTTTTGTTTTCATATTTCCTATTCAATTTGTACGCAAGACTTAAACATTTGTTCATAACTGCATATAACCTCCGGCCAATCAGATATCCAGCAGAATTACAGTTATTGAATATTTTGCAAATTACCAACCAGTGTATCATTGGAAATTGACTGTTTAAATTTCGACTGTTGTCATTATACCACGGACAGTCATTTCACAACATTTGCAGCCCTTTGATTAAAAATAAATGTTTAGGATTAAAATGACTCCGATTAATTTACTGTTAAAAATTAATTACTCGCTTCAAAAATATTGGTGGTCATCATTTATTTGAAAATTGATAAATTGGCAGTCGAATTTATTATTTGAAATCCCTCATTATTTTGCTAATTATTTTTCCCTTGCCTAGACTTTAAAATAATAAGAATTCTATTTTTAATATAATAATTAAATACAACATGTAGATATTTTATGATAATCTGAACAATATATCTATTTCAATTGAATTTAGTTACAGTGTTTCTCTATTTTATATGCTAATTTATAGAAAGTCGGTTTGTTTTAAAGATTAATATCGATTAAGGGTATCTTAACTGCTTTATTCATCATCATGTTTGATCGCCTATATTATAAGGTGTGGAGTTTCAAAAATGTTACTAATATAATACAATGCCTACATGAGCAGTAGGGTAGGAAGAGTTTGCATCCAGTTTTTTTGAAGGTGGTGGGGGGGGGGGGGAATTAAGGAGTAGGCTTTTAAAGGGGGTAGATTATGGGTATAATTCTATAGGGGGGTTTATCTATTTAATGCTCGTTTAACTTTCTTTTGGAATTTTGTAAAAACAAATTTTTTTTGAACTTCTCTTATAAATGAAAAATGATGAAATATTTGTTTGCTCATCTAAAATATTTACCTCGTATTCTTTATTGTAATGCACAATTTTTGTTTAGAAAATTAAATAAGTGGTGGCATAACTTAAAATCTTGTCTTCTTCGTCGATACTAAACAGCCGGCTATTTAGAAATACAACTTAAAGGATTTAAATTATTTATTATTAAAGGAAATATAAGTATTAATTTATTATTGGATATTTAAAAATTTACTTTTTATAATATATTGCTATATCTCAATTAATGGAGTATCATTGTTCTAAAACAATCTGTGCTTTGGGACCCTGAGCTCGATATGTGATTTTGAACCCAGAGCCCTGGATTTCTTCAAAGCATTCGGCCAAGCGCAATTTCGGATGATCCTCAGGAAAGTTTCCATCTGCGTCAACGAATTTCAATAGAGACTTGAGGGTTACATACTATATCAATACGCGGTGCCATAACTTATAAATACCTACTCACGTTTTTTTTGAAACTTTTTTATTATAAATTTTTATAATTTTTTTTTAAAAATATATTCTTTTTATTTTTTTTTAAAATATATTTAATATTCATATAGCCTATATCTTTTATTATAAATTGTAATCGTTTTTAATTAAAATAAAACCGTCATTTAAGCCAAAAAAATATAAATATGAAAATAATTACCTATTCACTTTATGTTGAACATAATGAAGATTAGCATATCTTAATTTATAGTAAAATTAAGTTATCATTAAGACTTGTAATAATTAGATATTTTGCTGCATAAATTTTTTTTATTTATAAGTATTTTAAAATTTTAACAAAATATACACTATATTTTATACAAAAGTATTTCATTAATTAAAATCAGGGTTAAGCATTTATCTTTTAATTTATTTATGTTAAAAATAAAAATAGTCGTATTATATTATAGTAATATTTTTACAAATTTTCAATATAAATAACAAAAAATTTCTGATGCCTAACTGTTTTATTTCAAAAAATATTGGCCCTCCCAAATAAACAGCCCTCCCTCCCCCCCCACTGAAAATTCCTGGCTACTTCCTGCTTCTGATTATTTGCATCCCTCACGGAAAAACGATGTGTTGGCTATTTTTATTTTTTAAATTTTATATCTATTCCTGAAGACCCTACCATATATGAAGCTTAACAATTCTTCCCATGAATAATATTCGCCTCTATTCGTGATATTTTATTATTTTGTATAATGTTAATTAATAAGAAAGATATTTATTTTTTTCCCTGCTTTATTTTTCCTATAAAAATTAGCCACTGAAAATATATTATACTATATCGATACATAATTTTGATATTTTTTTAAATTTACCTCCAAGCTTATGGAATTTTTAACTCTGATTTACCACATTTATGATGCATCGCGATTTTTGTTATTCACCATTATTTGTTATCAGATTCATCACAATTCCTGATTCCTCGCCATTTGTGATTCTCAGCTCCCACTCTCGGCCTAGCTTATTATAATTGCACTCATTTTTTAAAGGTTTTCTAGGAAATAATTCACAGTAAACTATTTATTAAAATTAATAATATTTTTTAGCATTATAAAACTATACACACAGTGGCGTCACTAGGGGAGGGGCGCAGGGGCTCGAGCCCCCTAAAAAATTCGAATAGCCCCCTGAAGCATAATTTTTTTTTTAATGGCTCCTTAATATCCCTTGAACTAAAAATAAATTTTTTTGATTGCCCCCTGAATGATATCTTTTATAATCCCATTAAGTATATAGATTTAATTTTATTATTTAGAAATTAAAAGACTATTTAAATTTTTATTAGAATACTATTTTAATTATTAAATTAGATTAATACATATAAATTATATTTTAAGTATGTCAGCTTGCAATCAAATTCTGTATTAAAAATATAATATCAATAACTCACTAAATATTGATTTAGCTTTTACAGTTGAAGTTTAGTTGACTTTTATTATTTCAATTATTATATAACCCTAATTAAATTAATATAATCATTTATTAATTGAAAATTAACAAATTTAATTGTAATTAGCTGAGTTTAACATCACTAATCAACTATATTATTGATTTTTAAATTTAATTATCATGTCTCTTTCTAAAATTATTTTCAAGGTTCAAATCCAAATAAGTATAAGAGATTTATTTATAAAAAGTAAATAGGCATATAGTTTATAATCCTCTATTATATATAATTATTTATAAAATATTAGGTAAAATGCCACTTTTGCAGACGTATTTGACAGTTATATAATATATTACAGTTAATATTTTTAATATTTTACTAATCAATGCTTTTGATAATAAATATAAGTAACAATTTGCATACGCCATCTATTTATTTAAAAATATTATTATAATTAAACATCTTATTATTCATCCCACAATGGATGTAATAATTAGATATCTTTTCTTCTCTTTTTTACGTCTTTTTAGGAAAGCTATTTTTTTTCTCTTTGAAAAACAGTTTTGAGTTAAATTTTTAATACGAATATATTTTAGATATTATTACAAACTACTATTATTTTAAGATATAATATACCAAGGTGGTGCGACAATATATAAAATGTTAATTGTTTCATCATATCATTCTGGTCCTTATTTTATAGTTAGAAAATGTTTCATTTCTAATATGGCATTGACGTGTAAATAACTCCAGGCTTCAATATATTTGTATAATTATTTCTTCCAAAGATTTTAGTGTTTTTATTTTATCAATTTATCCAACACAATAAATTCTGATATTAGTTTACGTGTCATGGCTATTACTGCAAATTAACCAGCATCTATTATTTGTGTTGCTATGTAATTTAAGATTATTACTACAACGGCTGAGAGCATATGATTGCATATTTTAGATAAACAATAATGGTCAACTGTGTAGTCGTTTATATATCATTTAAAATAGAAGATAATCTTTTAGAAATTTAATATCTCACATTAATTTTCTCGATTATTTATCTAGCTTCCATCATGTCATCTTAAAGGAAGCTCTAAACACCATATAGTTTTATGATTTGGATTGGTCTTTTATACTCTCTTCTTCAAAAATTATTGATTTGGTTTAGGCCTATAAATTTTTCCTTATTAGTCCATTCTATAAAACATTGTCTAAAATGGTAACAGAGAGTTATATTAGTTTGATAAACTTATATAAATGTAAGTTGCTAAGAATTATATTATATGTGGTTTTTAAAATTCATTGTCAATTGAGTCATATGTATGAATTAATTAATTTTTTTTATCACTTGTAATTCTTTAGACGCAAATTTTTTTTATATCAGCAATCGAAAATATTTTATACTAATAAATAGATTTTGTATTAAAAAATATTATTTTTAGAAATGTCTTGTATTGTTTTAATTATTTATATGCCAGTTTATTTTGTATGCATAATATACAAAATATGATATTCAGAATAATTGTTCAGATTCAGAGTTAACAAATTTTAAAAAAGTGTAATATATCAATATAAAACCGGCCGAAGGCCCGCAAATTGGGGAATATGGGGGGCTTCGCCCCCATTAAATTTTATTTAGTTGAGCCCCCTGAGATTGTAAAGGCTATCGACGCCCCTGTATACACATAACTTAATTACTTAATTAATACAAAAAATTTAGAAAAAAATATAAAATTATTAAATGCTTCATAGATTATTCTTATTAGTCAATTGTTGCTTCATTGGAGAAATGTGAATCTTATTCAAATACAGGAAAATCTAATAAAGTAGGAGTAGGAATTAATTATTATATCGTTTTCTATATTTAGACAAATATATTATAATTAATTTAATAGTAAATATTTAGAGATTAATATATATGCATATGTCATAATACTTTAATTCGTGCCATGTTTTCTAACTTTATACAAAATAATTTGTGTATGTAATGATTAATAATAACTTTCTGTATTTAAAAATATGTGATGTAAATAAATAATAGGATTGAACAATTGTTGAATACTATTTGTCAAATGAAATATATAATCGACCAAGGAATACATGTGTATATTATATAAAATATTATATTTTTATCAAAAATATAAAATAGATTTTTATTTGCTTTTAATATAATATTGTTTTTAAAGATAATATCCGTCAAAGTATCTTATTTTGATTAAAGAATAAAAACGCCATTAGGTCATTAAAATATAAGAAGAACGTCATAGTTGATGAATACTAGCTTGAGAGTTGGTACAATCAGCAGTCTATAGTTGTATTATGCATAATGAATCTTGCTGTTAGTCCCTTGAATTATCTTTTCGTTCATAATATTTGAAAATTCTTGTTGAGATGACCTGATTAGTTTTTTAATACTAACCTTTAAATTGATTTTTTGTTTATATAAATTATTAAATTGATTTTTTTATATAAATTATTAAATTGGTTTTTTTATATAAATTGTTAAATTGATTTTTTTATGTAAATTATTAAATTGATTTTTTTGATGTAAGCATGAAAATATATTACATTTTTAGCTTAAAATAATTTTTAAATAAATTAAATAAAATAAAACTTTAAAACTTAATAAAATCTAATAATTTGTTATGACTAGTATCCTAGAAAACTTCAATTCTATTTACTAATATATTGTCTACATATACCATATTTGTGTTGTATTCTTTTATCAGTTCATAAAAATCCTAACTATCTACAATTAAGTACCGCTGTTTGTGTTATTTGCTAAAAAAATAATAATCAAATTTGTTGTATTTATTTGTTTTGAAATGTATATTAGTTTAGTCTTATTCAAGTTCACACATTTCGCTGGATTGTTTGTTAAACCAATTAAAGATTTTACAATCTTTTTTAAAATTGCTTCTATTTAAAAAAAAATTGTTATATCAGTTGTATAAATATTATCTAGTTATGTTATATATTCAAAATGGAATTATATTTTTAATCTAATTTTTGTAACCTTACCTATTATTACTTTTTGTTTTTCGTTTTTAAATTTATATTTTTAATCTAATTTTTGTAACCTTACCTATTATTACTTTTTGTTTTTCGTTTTGATTATATGTATTCTAATTTATATTTTTAGATAATATATAGTGTGTGTACGAAGATAAAAGATAATAATAGTAAAATATATTTTTACTTACTTGCACTATTATCAGATTCTCTTCAAGTTACATGAAAATGTTCCCATACATTCGCTGTTGAAGAAGCTAACATTTTTATATTTAAGGTTTGCGAAGGTATACATTGAAGAAATATATCATCCCCATTTGTCATTTTATAATGAAAACTTCTTTCAAAATTAAGAGGCCACGGTAAAGGTTCAATATTAATTGTCTGAAAATTATTTCTGATCACAAATTTATATCTAATAAGTTGAAGTAAAGCTAAATAAAATTAAATCAATAAAATGCTCTACTTAGTAAAAAGTTATTATTGGCTTTCATAATTTCCATTATTCAGATCAGATTATTCACTCTTCTAAAAAGTTAAAGAGAGCTTATAAAATTAAACTAAAATAACTAATAGCATTTATTTTCCAATATATAACAATCTGTTTATATTAATTAAAAATTTCACTCTTATGTAATGTGTAAATTTAGTTTACAAACAATACATGAAGTTTGATAAACTTATATATAAAATTAACTGAAATGTTTTTTTAAAAATTATCTAATAAATTTCAAAGCCACTTATAAAATTCGAAATTTTTTGTCATTATTCATTAACAGCGATTACATTAGCTGCGGGAGTAGGAGTCACTTGCCTTCAACGTTTTTGAAGAGTATAGTAAGAGAGGCTAGACTAGTGAAAGTAGAAATAAATTATATTTATAGAGTGAGGGCAAGATAATTAAAAGGGATTCAAATTTATTAATAAATTAATTTTGATTTTAGTCTGAATTAAATTTTAAATTTATAATACTTGAGATAATTCATACCACAACAATATATATAAATCCGGATATAGGTGTTAGGTGGTTAACTTGCCCATTTTAATCACAATTATATATATTATCATTATAAAATATATATAATTAACGAATATACAAATTAATAATATACAAATAATATATTACATTCATATATATTTTCATAATATCAATAATAACTTTTCTCTTAGAAAACCTTTGTCTTTGGTCACCATTTACCTTAACCGTGGGGTGTTACCTTTTTTTAACATTATTCTCCCCCTAATTAAAATTTTGATCACACAAATAGAATCAATATTAACTGCCTTGGTACGATTAATCTCGCCTAGAGTATCAAAATCGATTCCCTTGTTGATTGATCTCCCACCGGAGTATTGTTATCAGGTCTATTGCAGGTTGATCAACATTGTGCTTGAACTGCCCACGAGGTCACCGTTATCCTAGAGCTGGCCAAGAGATAGCTATCATCCTTGGATAGCCCACGAAGTTATATTTATCCGAGCTAGACAAGAAATTGCTATCATTCTTATATGGCACATGAGATAATCGATATATCGACAAGATATTATTAGTCTTTAACTCAAATACGGCTACATCTGGCTCATGATAGCCTCATTAATTTTAGCATAGGCCACGTGATTTGAGAGCCCAACGTCCTTATATCTTTATTTCTAAGTTAGCCAGGTTTCTTTATTAGTATCCATTTTCCCAATGTCCAAATTAGCCAGGTTCTTTTAACAGTAACTTTTTTCCAATGTCCAAATTACCCGGTTCTTTAATCAGTAACCTTTTTCCCAATATCATGTAAATGTCACTATATCTATAGACATGTTTTTACTATTATTATTTCCTATAATGATCCATTTTTACTGGGTCATCAATTTCCCGAAATTAATTTCAGGTCATCACAAAATTCATAACATAGAATTATTCCCCAAATTTAAATAAATCATTTATTAATCATAATCTTATGAATCTCATTCTGCAATTTCATACAATATAATCAGCATGAACAACTTCATTTGTACCAAATATATGTTTCTTTCTTGCATATTTATTCATCAAACAATTTTTCTTTGTCACTAATTATAATAATTCATTCAATATCAGAACTATTAATATATTTTCCTAATTAGGTTTATTATCAACATAATTTTATCATACATTGCAAATTCTCCATAATTTATTCCATTTACTTAATTCTGATTGACAATTTTATCTTTATCCATATTAATTTCTTAAAATAGCCATTACATTCATATTGCTCAAACAAATATCACTTTATTAAATAGTTCATACTTATCATGATATTTTTCAATTCCCCATAATTTATTTCATAAAACACATAATAGATTCATATTACAGGTTATTTGTCTCGTCGTCGCCAATTTAATAAATTAGATCAAATTCATACTTACATTTACATCCATGACGCCATATAATATTTGAGATAATTCATATTTATACAAAAATAACAATATATATAAATCCGGAAATCACATTATAATAGATGCTGTGGGTGTTAGGTAGTTGTAACATTTTAAAAAATTAGAATAAGAATTGGAAGTTTATAATCGTTGTCAAATAAGAAAGGTTAGAAAAACATGATACTAAATCAGACTAATATCCTCGTTAGAACTAAAATTATACTAAATCAGACTAATTTATATATATTTTTCTATAATATTCGTCAAATCAGAAAAGTTAGAACTAAAATGATACTACCCTTTATTAAATAATAAGTTAAAAATATAATCAAACTAAATTAATTAAAAAAAATTAAAATAATAAAAAATTAAAATTAAAAATTATAATTAAGTTCGTAAAATCATGATCTGTCCTTATACAAATATCCTCGAATATATATATACTTTTCTATAATTCATTTACATAATGTTTTACAAACAAACTGAAAAAAATCTTGAACTTTCTTTAATTTGAATAATCATTCTTTTTTATTCCTCTTTCTTTAAATCATTTGCATTCGAAATTTAATTCTTTTTTCTTGTAGATTTGAATATCCTTCGGCTTTGTAATTTGGTTTAACAATTACAACACCCTTCCACTTAGATTAGTCCCACCATTCTGCGAGTAAGGCATGGTTCCCGATACATTCTTCTAGCTCCTTTAATTATATCTCGTTTTACTCCCACATTATCCTAGTCTTTGCTTGTTTCTAACGGTTTCTAGTAACTAATGACGGTAAACCACTGACGATAATTTGTCTGCGAGTAACGATGGTTTCCACGACTTCTTGCGATTTTTTATCTTATACTAAATTTTTGATAAGCAATTGGCTATAATTTGTCAACGATTAACGATAGCATCCTGGTCTTCTTGTAATATATCCACTTTGCCTTAAGATCTCTTATACGATAATGATTTCTTGTATCTTTTGATCCAAAATAAAAATCCGATCTCTAATTGAGCTCGATTGCGGCATAAATTTTCTAATGACGAAAAGCCATTTCTCTTTATGAAGATTTTTAGGTTAATCAACAACCTGATATTTTGCTAAATATTATCAACTTAAATAACAGTCAACCATATATCTTTAATAAAAATTTATAACGAATTTCTTTTAGCTACATCGATCACTTGTACGTATAACGATCTCTTGTGACGCATTCTTTTTAGCTAAACGACTAATTCTCCGAAATACGACCATTAATATTGATACCATTGTTTTATTGCTCTCATTCTTTGTCTTAGTGTCGATAGTCATCTCATACATCCCCTTCCCCCTTTATTTAGAATCTCTTTTCAGAGTTAATTAGACTGACTTTTGATCTTCTAAAGCCTGGATCAATCGCTGTAAGGCACCTCTGTACCAATATGGTATTGATATTTATATTGCTGAGGCTAGTGGGAGAGTTAATTAGACTGAATTGTTGAAATTGCCCTGTCGCCTCCACTCTCCAACATCATTGTAACATTTTGAAAAATTAGAATAAGAATTGGAAGATTATAATCGTTGTCAAATAAGAAAGGTTAGAAAAAAATGATACTAAATCAGACTAATATCCTCGTTAGAACTAAAATGATACTAAATCAGACTAATTTATATATATTTTTCTATAATATTCGTCAAATCAGAAAAGTTAGAACTAAAATGATACTAACTCTTTATTAAATAATAAGTTAAAAATATAATCAAACTAAATTAATTAAAAAAAATTAAAATAATAAAAAATTAAAATTAAAAATTATAATTAAGTTCGTAAAATCATGATCTGTGTTTATACAAATATCCTCGAATATATATATACTTTTCTATAATTCATTTACATAATGTTTTACAAACAAACTGAAAAAAATCTTGAACTTTCTTTAATTTGAATAATCATTCTTTTTTATTCCTCTTTCTTTAAATCATTTGCATTCGAAATTTAATTCTTTTTTCTTGTAGATTTGAATATCCTTCGGCTTTGTAATTTGGTTTAACAATTACAACAGTAGTTAACCTTCACCCCATAATATATTAATCATAAATATATATATTATCATTATAAAATATATTTAATTAGAGAATATACAAATTCATAATATACAAATTATATAATATGATATATTCATACATATATTACCATAATATCAATAATAACTATATGTGTATTCTTTCCACATTCCTACAAAATCATTCATTCACACATATCATTTTAACACAGTTTGACTATATATAAGCTCGGGTTAGTAAAAACTAAAAATTAGTTGAATATCACCTCAATGCTTATTTGTTATTCTTAAAAACTATGCCTGGAATAATTTTGTTGAATGGAGGTTATAAAAAGTGGCTCACATAATTTGTATAAGGTTAATAAAAAAAATGATATCCTAATATATGTATCTTCTTAACTTCATCAATTTACTATATAATAATGGCTGGGTAAATATCACGGCCGTAGCTAGTGCGAATTTTTATAGGGGATAGGTATAGGGTTTGAAGGGAAATTTGTCTCTAAGTAAATTTATGCCATGTAGACGCTGATTATTAATATAATTCAAAATTCCATTTATGCATATCAAAACATCTGCAGATTAATTAGAGCATTTTTTAAGGCCAGAAACGGACGGAATTCGTATTTGATAATGAGTTAACGAACATTGAGAACAATGTGGTCAGGAGGATTTGCCTTGAAATAAAATAGTTGGTTTTAGCTTAATCTAAGGCACGGGCACCTTGGTGAGGGGGGGGGGAAGAAATCACTTGATCCCTCCTCCGAAAAAATCAAATTTTATCCTGAAAAATTAAATTTATAGATTATACTGTACTTTTTAGATATTTACATGTTATTTATTTTAGTTATTTAAAAGTTTCATCATTCCATAGATCTAAAATTATTCCTCTGAAAATTTATAAAAATAAGCAAAAATTATCTCCATATGCATGCAATATATTTCGTTCATTATGCATTTACTTATTTTTCAAATATATATATATAATGAAAAATATTTTGCAAATGCCCAGGTTTTCCTTCTTCGTAATTTTTCTATTAAGAATATAGAGCGTACTGAGCAATTATCATCAGGGCTTCCGGCTAGTGTTGTTAAAAAGCTCATTTTGAGCCGATTTTTTAAAAGAGCTAACTTAATATTTTAGCTTGAAAAATATTGCCTAAGCCTCGAGATTTCGATAATATATGTATAGACCTTTGTTCTTTCTAGAGAAAAATCTTCAGGCCTGCGTAATATATTTCTGGATGAAATATTGAGTTAGCCGTTTATAAAAATCGGCTCAAAACGAGCCGTTTAACAGCACTACTTCCGGCAATATGTACTCTGCAGCAGAATATTTAATAACCATGGTGAGTTGAATGGATAATAAATCCCCAAGTAGCAGATGCTAAATTGAAAACATGTGGGGTGGTGATGTTGGACATAATCTAGATTTTTTGGGTGAAATAAGTTATAAGTTTCGGTCATATCTACAAAACGTATATAGGCATTAATAGAGAATTTTAGTGATTAACAACATCAATAAGTAGGCCTATTCCTATTCAAAATTCATTAAATAACGGCTGAGCCTTAGACAAACAATTAGCAAAGGTTAACTTATCCATAATCCTCGAATATTTCTGTAATAAATCGAATGGTTGAAAACACAAAAATATCAATTCTTATCAAATTTTTAACGATTTGTAATTTTTTGGCCATGATTTATTAAAAAGGGTGGGGGGGGGTGTCTTTTATCAGGAATTAAATATTATTACTAAAGAAAATGTGGTGAATTTTTAAATGTATAATACTTCCTCCCATGCTAAGGAAATGGGGCATATTCCATAGGAATTGGAAATATGACCTAAGAAAATATAAAATAGCGAAGGATTAAATGAATGTTGGGCGCTATTTTTCCTAGCTGACCTAGGAAGAAGCCACTTGAGAGGCTTCCTAGGATGTAAGTAAGGTCAAATAGCATTTATTTCCCAAATCTTGTATTTGTGTTCCGATGACAATAAAAAGTATTAAAGAATACTAATATCGTATAACTGAAAAAGACATTATTTATTAAAATCTGTTTAAATATAAAGTAATTGGGTGTTTTTGATGATTCGTGTTGAATGGGATAATATTTACAAATAAATACATATATATAAATTTCTGTATATAGTTTATTAGTAGTATTATGCTAAATAACGTTACACAACTGCCATAATATATTATAAGTACGTTATTCTTTAACATCTTCTACATCGGTGCAAATGACAATCTTATTTTTAAAAAAATATATTTATCTTTTATTTAATTAATAATTAAACAGATTTATTCGAGAAACTCGATATCCAATCATAATTAAAAAATTTTTTTTAAAGATCATTGGCATTATTTTTTTAGAAAAATTTTGATTAATTTATATATAAAAAATACAAATTCCTTTCAGCTTACAAAAAAAATTCATCCATTTTTAAAATAAAATTTTGCTCGTCAGCATCACATTAATAGAAAATTTTACAATCGATTTCTGCACGATAATTTGAATAAGAGAAAATAGTAGTCTGTTTTTTTTTTGAAAAAGAATTTTTGACAATGTATTACTAAATCTATTATTCAAATCTAGAAATAATTGCACTAAAAAAATAATATATATAATTATAAATATTATTCATTCATTATCAGATTTTCATCGGCAAGGAAGATCAATAAATTGAATTTTAAAGCGACCTACAATATTAAATTAGGCCTATATTATTCTCATGCTTATGATTTAGGAAGATTCACTTAAATTTTCGGTCTTTTAAAAGAATATTTTCATAGGAAAATAGAATATTTTTTAAGAAAATTTTTTTTTGAGCATATTTTACATGATTAATAAATTCGGGATATCAATGAGCTAAAAATAAAACTAAGGATATTAAAATTGTATTGGTAACAGTTTTATAAAATCAATTTAGACTGTAAGAGAAAATATGAATAAATTAGGCGTGTAACCAAGGGGTGGGAAAGTAAGAAGATTGCCACCCCATCAAAAATTCCATGTTCCAGTAAATATATTTAGCTAAATCCCACTGCCACTTTTTCCACCTCCCACAACACTTCTCCTAAAATATATACAACAATTAGGTAGAAAAGTGGGTTGAAGTTAATCCTTTATTAAAATAACGATTATAATGGAAAAAAACATTTTTATATAAAAAAGGTGAAAACCCAAGATTATATTTATAAAAATATAACATAGCCGAAGGTCTTACAAAAAGAGGACCTAATAACCTTCAATATAATTTATGGCGGAAAACCCTATATGATAATTAAACCCCCCCCCCCCATCTGAAAGTCCTGGATATGCTTATGATCAACATTACCGAATAAATATTTAAAAAAATGAGATATAATCTGAAACAATTAAATTAAAAAAAATTCTGATTAAGCCAAAAAAGTATTGTGCTAAGGTAACGTGAAATATAAAATATTCACTTGATTGTTGGTTTGATCTATCTAAAATATAATTTAAAATGAGATCAATTGAGTTAATACACTTAGACTCGCGATTCATTCTATAAAATGTGTTAAAAGTTTCATACATTGAGGTCCGCCATTAAAAGGCATATAGACGAAATATGAGAGCTATTTCGATATAATGTTCTTCAATTGGTTTAGATAGAGTTTAAGATATTTATACTAAAAAAAATAACATTAATAATTTGACTTTAAAAATACAATTATGTATTTTCTCATTATTTCAGGATTCAGAAACATGATGAATGCACAACAAAAATGTCCTGAGGCAAAAAAACACTAAGTAAAAATGGACCCCCTGTATAAAAATACCACGGATGAATATACCCTAATTAACTTATTTAAAAATTAATTAACAATGGCCCATTATAATTCTTTTCAGCCCATTTTTTTTAAAATTATTTTGTTAAATTTTAGTATATTTCTATTCAAATCTTACGTATTTTTTTGAAATTCCGATTTTTATTTATTGTTCGTAAGAAAAAAAAGCGAGTAAGATGAGGTAAGAAAGGAAGAAACAAAGGAAAACATTTTCAATAATATATAAGACTTATCTAATATGATTGCTCCCTTTTTTTCTAAATCATCTAACTTCTTTTTATGATTTTTTAGACTCTATGGTTAACTAAGCTAGCCTTAACTAAAGGAGAAATTACTCACCCTTTAGACGAATATAACATTTGACTGATTTAAGCAAAGACTTCCAAAATTATATTAAATAACATTTTTTTGTTAAATTATAATGCAGAGTTTGGAACCTAGACTCTGCATATAAAATGGTTCCGATTTTTTAAAATTTGGAAAAGGGATTTTGATTCCTATTCTTAAATTGGATGTGGTTCCCAGGTTCTTGTCCCCAACTCAATTAAAGCATCCTCTATTTTTAATAATATATTTATGCCATAGGTGTTTTGCATATTTAGAGCTGTTTCACTGATCCGGGTTTTGGGGAAATTTATAAAATTTAAATTATTTATATAACGTTTTTTTTAAAAAAAGGATTATTTAAACTATTTTCAAATTACTTTTTAAAAAAAACATATAATTTTTTTATAGAAAAAGAATTATTCTTGTTTTTGTATAAATATAATTTTAAAATTTAAAATAAACACTCTTTTCTGTTATTTTTTTGAATTTTTCAATTCTTCCGTCAAATTTAAATTATATACTTTTGAGCATTCCTGGTTTTGATCGTTATGCCTCTATATAAATATATGATAAGGATTTATGTTCATTTTAACAGCTTTAGTAAAAGAGAGAAAAAAAGGTGATCCAATTAACATAAAAGATTTTTAAATACTAAATTTAAGCAATGGCGTCACTACCGTTATTTTATTTATGGCATGCTAAATACAGACCTTATTTTTTGAGTATACTTAAAAAAAAAATATTTTGCTTAGAAAATATTTTAGGCTTTTATCCAATTAAAATTTTTGAAATCAAAATTTTATTTTATTTATCTTTTATTAACATGAGACGCAAAAAAATAAATAGTTTTGGTGTTTAGAATCGTTCAGCTTTGCGTTTTTCTAATAAATGCTTCGTTGTTTAAATTAACGCCATATATTTAAATAATAAAGCAAAATAAAACGTTTGCCAATAAGGACATAATATTTAAAATAAATGTTTGAAGAAAACTGCAAAACGAAAACGCTCCAATTTGTAGGTTGTCTCAATTTTAAAATATATAAAAAGGGGTTGATATGAAAAATTAAATATCTGAAATAAAAGTGATCACATGATATAATTATCTATTAAAGATTTTTTAAATTAAATACAGTAGTTAACGACTTTTACATCCCCCATAAGCTATTGACGATTTTACCTCCTAAATATTTTTGTCTCTACTCCTTAAAAAAATTTACACCTCCTGCTAAAAAAAAATAATTTTCCCTCCTAATTTACCGCGGAAAGCCAAAATAATTATTAGTTACATGGAGAGCATAATACAAATAATTGCAAATATTATTTAAGAAAAATAAAAATTGATAACCCCCACATCTCCCTCATCCACCAAAATTACTAAAGTAAGTATATAAATAATAAGTATAAGTAGATAACTTTTAAAAACAATTATTGCAATTAAACATTTTCATAACATTACATATAAAACTAACTATAGATTATAATACCAATAATATGTAAAAGATAAATATAACCAGGCTAGGTTGAGGTAAAAAGTTGGCATAGACCCTTCAAAAAAAATTTTGGTGTAAGAGATGTAAATCTCTTCCATATTAAATAAATAATATCTGTTACAATGACAAGATAATAATTTAACTAATTCGTTTTATTAAATAATATGTTATTTCAAAATTTACAAAGTAGGATTTTATTACATATAAATAAGGTTCTATTATAAAATTGTTGATCCATGTATAAATAAACGATAAATCTCATATACGACCAGTACAACTTTGAATAAATAATTGGGATACAACGGAATCAGCATGTTCTAAATTAAAATTGGGTTTTTATGAGATGGGTGTACTTTTGATGGCATTCCTTTTATAAATTTATATATATTTCCAAAGAATTTTAATTGGTTCTATGAATTCATCATTAACAAAACATTCTCTTAAGTTGCAACCTGTAATTATTGCAAAACATTAGGATGATTACTACGTTGAGCCACCGATCTGTCAAACAGAATATATTCATAGCATTTCTTAGTATTTCAACGCGAAAATAATAATCATTTATCTTAATGTAACCAGCAATTTCCAATATCTGAAAAGATATCAAAGGTGTTGATAAAACTGTTCTCGTTAAGATAAGTGCCAAGGTCATACGTATGGCCTTTATCTTGTTATTTTGGGATTTAGAAGAATTATGAAAACCTCGTTTCAATTTGCCTATTAAATTATCTTGATTAGGTACATTTGATATCTTAACATAATCGTCTTTCCTGGTATGTTTGTTATTCTCATCATGTTTAAGACTGGTACAACCATCTATTTTATTACATAGGGGTTGTAACATCTCTTTAACATCTCTATTTTTGTTATTTTCTGGGACATTAATTCCTTTTAAGTCATAATTCTCAGTGACATTCTTAGATTGCTTGACATCTATTGACTCTGCAACGGCAGGAGCCCAATATAAGATATTAAAACGTTTATTAACTAGGTTAAAATGATTACATATATCAGGTCTATGATTTTTTTGATCTTTAGATTTGGAATTAAATTTGTATGCTGATAATAACATTATCATTCTTGCATAAAATCCGCATGTAACAATCAAGGGTATAATTAAGCCTAAAAATAATTTAGAAATAAGGATTAAAATTTTTGCTAGATATAAATAAATAAACAAAATTACTCAATATTTATTAGACTTTCTATAAAATGAATTCTTAAAACTTTAAGAATATAATTATTTAAATAGCATAATTAAGTCTACCTGAAATGGTCGAATACAGTAAATAACATCGTTCTTGGGTATTATTTAAAATACATTTGTTTTGAAAAAGTAATAAAACAAGTGGTAATGACATAAGAGAGCACACACTCGAAATTAATATTTGTGGCCAAAGGATGAAAATTAATTTTTTGATATAATTTAAATATATTTTTGTTAGGTTTATGTTAGGAAAATACCATTCTCCAATATTTTCCGAATTAATGGAGACGGTTGGAGAAGGCATTGCCACTCTTTTAAATTTTAGAGTTCTATGTATAGCCCGGAATCTATCAAAAGCTATGTAAGCAGTAATCAAGGAGTTGTTAAAACCTGAAAAATTATTAAAAAAATAAAAGGCTATTAATGCTGAACAAGGAGGTTCAACTTTAGATTTTTCGTGTGGGTAAGAAATATAATTATGGGAATCAATCAAGCTTAAATTTGTAATATGAAGTTTCGTGATAACTGAAACATTGCGATTCATATCGATATTCATAGTTGAATTAGGCATGTTTTTAACACTAGCATTCAAGTCGGTACCTTCTGGTCCTAATGAATTAGAGAATGAATTAGCAAAATATTCATAATGTAAATATAAAGGTAGACATATTAATGCTAGAAGCATATCAGTAAAGGAGAGCCAAGCTATTAGCAAATTTATTCTAGTTTTCTTAATACCGCGCTTCCTTCCTTGAATATTAGTTCCATATTGAAAACTAGATGGTGAACTATTATCACTTTTTTGAGTGGTTATGGATGAGTTCTTTAGGAGTTTATTACCACTATTCCTTCTATTTGATTTTTTATAGAAGTTAAAACACATAAATGGTTTTATTTTGTTCGAGTGAAACAGAATCAAGTGAATGAGTAAATAGTTGAAAAAAATAATCAGCGCAATTTGAATAAAATATCCTGCCATCCATATGTGTATATAAGGATCATTTGAATTTAAGGATTCTCTTAGAGGTTCACTAGGTATTTGAGTATGGTATAGGTTTTCAAAATCATAAGCCATATTTAAGGTCAGTTTATAAACTCAGTGTAATTTTTTAAAATTTCTATTTTGAAAGAAAAAATAAAATGACATCTGGGAATTTATGAAAATATTCTTATTTTTTTAAGAATAATAATCTCCTTTGGCAAATTGACATAAATTAACATTTGTATTTAAATTATTTTGTCCTTTTTTAAAAAAATTTAAAATATTATTTATAAAAATTATAACAAAAATGGAGTCAGCCAAAAAAAAATTGACAATGATTAATTAAGAATAAAAAAACGTAAACAATGAAATGTCGTTGCATCTATTTTGGTAATTAAAAAAATTATCATAAATAATGTATTATTTGTTAGTCATATTGTCCCAAGCCTACCATAGAGAGAAAGAAGTGATTAATTTTTCCAAAATATAAAAATGAATTATTAATATATATTTAGTAACATTAAGCCATCCATCTATAAGATTGATTAAATTAATTGAATTCTATTCCTAGTCGCGTTGGTCAAATAAATTAATCTATTTTTTGTATTTCATATTGTCATTATTTCCTAAAATTCAAGAGTTTTATATCACATCATAGGCATTATGTTTCTTCAATATTATTATGTTAATATAGGACTAGAAATATAATTATTCTATATTTTTTTTGAAAAACATTAGCTAACATTTTGCTTAATGTTTTATTTTATCGATAAAAAAAATATTTCTTCACGAAGAATGTTTTTTTTAAAAAAACTTTCATTTTTCTAACAGATTTTAATACTAAATAATTAGTGTATATACAAATAATTTAGATCAAGCAATCATGATATCATTGGCAGTAGCCATAACCATACAAATTTCAAAATATTAAAAATTGGACTTGAACATGGGGAAATCGGGGTAAAGAGATTGACGTGGTAATAATGTTAATACAAAAAACTTTTTAACCTGAGCATAGACCTTAAATTTGTTTTGAATCAGAGTTGTTAATCGTTACTTTTAAAAGTAGCGCACTACCGCTATCTGTCAAAAAAATTAGCGCGCTACCGCTATCGCTATTTGTAAAAAAAAAGTAGCTCGCTATTAGCTACTATTTTTTAAAAGTAGCTTTAGCTACTTTTTAAGCTACTTTTTATTAAAAAAAAAATTTAGAAACAAATTTGTTTTATTTTTTGCTTATAATGTTATTGTATGATAAATATATTAAAATCAACATTTATAAATATTAAAATGTAGTTAGTTTTGATTATAAAAAAATTTATGTAATAAAATATTTATGGTAATTTGTTGCATTTTAGTTTTTACCTAGTGTTATGTGTCCAACTATCTGCCTTGGTACATATATACGATATCTCTGATAACTCAACTATTAGAGCATCTTTCATCACTTTAAAGTTATCTGCTATTTTATTCATTAGTGTTTGGCGACATAAAATTGTTGTACCAGGGGATATAGTTTTAATCATCATGGTAAATAATGGATTATCAACCAAGGACATTGGCTGAACTGTATCAATTATAAAATCAACAATATATCAGCCAATTTCTGAGAAATATTGGCATTAGATTATTAATTAATTTGGTTTGAATTGAATTAGTCTTTTTGGATGTAGAATCGCCTATGCCAAAATTATTTAAATGTTTATCCATTTCCTTAAAGCTATTGGGATGAACAGTCTTATAAAATAAATACTTAGAATGTAAAAATGACAATTTACCTTTTAGTGTTTCTTGAGGTTATAACTGGATTCATTTGAGGAAATATTTTTTTACATTTTAAACAAATAAATTTGAAGCCAATTTTGGTTTTTATATTTATTTAAAAAAATTTTTCAAATCTAGGGAATGGGAAATTTGTATTATAGCTATTAAGAACATTTTCTTCTCTGGAATCTTCCATTTCATTAATATCATTGTCTGAATCACTTTCAACGATTTGGATATCCATAGGCGATGACATTTTAAATTATTAACACGTGATTTAGGTTTATAATACAAATGAAAATATAAATTACAAATTGAAAATATATTTCAATTTTAAAATTAAATAATAAATCATAAAAATTATAATTAATCATAATATTATATTTAAATTTCATGTTTATACTTACTTTCATTATATTTTTTAAAAGTAGCTAAGCAGCGTGCTACTTAGCTACTTTCAAAAAAAGTAGCGCGCTAAAATATTAAATAATTACAAAAAAAGTAGCCGCTATTAGCTATAGCTACCAAAAAAGATAGCTCGCTACAAGTAGCTCGCTACTTTAACAACTCTGGTTTGAATATGCATTTTTATATTACCTATGTTTATCTTTTGAAAAATCTTACTGGTCTGACACATTTTAATTAAAACCCGTTTTTTGTCCAAGAATTGTAATATCACCCTCTAGATTATTTTGCGTTATGCTCATCATGATTAGTGTTGTGTAAACGGCTAATTTTAGCATACAAAACGGCTTAACTGAGATTTTAGGTTAAAAAATCGGCTAAAATTTTAATATAAATATTTAAAAAAAATTATATAGAAAAAACCACCTCTTTTAATATACTTAAAAAATAGATAATTTTACAAAAATGATTAAAAAAAATTATAAAAGATTTCACCTAAAAGATTGTTTATTTATATAATAAAATTTACAAAAGAGTTCCTCAAAAAAGGATTTATTTACAAAGTAGATTTAAAATTCTTAACAAATCAAAATATGTTGAAATATCCTTTTGAACTTCAAAAAATATTTTTTGCTTAAAATTTTAGACGTGAAAAATCACTAATAAATACAAAAATATAATTACAATAGCAGCTTATCATTTTTTTTATTAAAAAAACATCAAATAAATAAATTTATTTTCATTTCATTCCTAATATATAAATAAAAAATATTAAATCATATATCATGTTTATTTGTTGATTATAATAAAATATTTACATTAAATATAAAAAAAAAAAATAATTAATAATTAATGCTAGGTATATCTTACGGAACGCTGACCGACGATTAGCCGATGGAGAATTTTTGACTAATTTAGTTTTATGCGATTTTTAGGCTAAGCCTAATTAGGTTTAGCCGATTTTTAGGCTAGGCCTAATTAGGCTTATGCGTAGTTTTTAGCCGATTAGGCAACACTACTCATGATTTAAAAATATGTGGCTCTAAAATAAAGTTTATCGGTTTATAGCTTAATTAGAAGATACGCAATAATGATTTATATAGCCTTGGGGTAACAGATGTATCCAAGATTTTCCATAGGGGGAACTATTAGGCCGGGTGTTCCGCCCTAAATTTTATTGAAGGTCTTTAGATTCACTAATTGTAGGCCTTTGACTATATTATATTTTTATAAAACTAATAATGGGTTTTCACTTATTTTTTATAAAAATGCATTTTGCCTAAAAATTTTGAATTATAAGTTGTTATTTAAAAAAGTTATTAATTTTTACTTTCTTTCAAATTCTTCTTTATAATGATTTTTATTGTATATATTTTCGAGACTGAAGGGTGTGTAGGGGGGAAATGTTTATTTGCTTAAAATGATATTCACAAGAACAGCAATGGTGTAGCCAGGATTTTCCAATTAAAAAGGGGGGGGGGGTTAAAATTTTTTATAATTCTAAAATATGGCAATGTTTTGTACTTTATTAGAGACCGCTTTTAACCAGTATACTAGCCAGTATAAAGGAAAAAATTATTAGTAACAAAATTTTGGCCAACCTTAATATTAAAAAGTGACTGAAAGCATTTATATTCAGTAAATTTTATGAATGTTTAGATCATAATTGTCATTAATTTAATTCGTTTGGTCGACAGTATAAAGAAGAAGAAAAATTGTCAAAATAGACATCGTGCTAATGGAAAATATAAAGAACTATATATCTAGCGTGCGCTAATATATTGCCTGACTAGTACTATTCCTCACTCAAATATGAGAGTCACGAAAAGAAACTGAGTTATATACATATGCTCCTAAGCGTGAAGTGAGCCAAGCATTTGAAAACACTAATTCTGAAACATACTAAACCATTAATTAGGGTTTTATTAGTAAATTTTATTGCTTTATTCATTTTCGTAGTTGATTAAAAGAGGAAAAGAATTATCGGTAAATTATAAATAATTGTCAAAATTAGCATTATGCCATAAAGAAGTTTTAACTAGGTTTGTCTTAATATTTAGTGCCTTATTAATTCTTTATGCCAGCCAGTAACCGAATATGAACCAAAAACTAACTATAAAATTTAAGCGTAAAGTTAGCCAAACACCTGGAAGTATTATCAAAAAATTTTATGTCAAATTAGTGCATATTTCATATTTCTTTACTTCTACCCGTTTGGTAGATAGTTTAAAGAAAAATATTTTTGACAAAATAAAAAAATTGTCAAAATTGGCATCATATTAGAAAGAAAATTATATAAGTAACCAAAAATATATAATGCCTGACTAGTACTTACTAGTCTATTGATCAGTTTTTTCAGCCAATTAATAAAAACCAGTTATAAGAGAAATAAAAATTACGGCAAAGCTGAATCTTAAATAAAAAAATTTTAATTTTCAAAAATCTATTTGATCTGAATACATTAAGGTTTCATTTTTCTCGATTAAAAATATTTTTGAAGCTTATGATTCTATCATCTTCATAGATGTTATTTATTCTTTTCAGTTGGTTTAATAAATATAGAGGTAATTTTAATGTCATTAAACAAGATAGAATGAAAATTTAAAAAAATTAAATAAACGTAATATCTAAAATAGGTTTTCTATTATTATCAGTATAGAAAATCCTATAATTATTTTAAAATATGGGACTTGATATTGTTGTAACATTGATACTTATATATAGTGTTATTAAACGACTCGATTTGAGCCTATTTTTAAAATTGGCTAATTCAATATTTTATCCAGAAAAATATTAAGCACATAAAGATTTAGGTCATAAATGGTACAAATTACACATCTATTAATAAAATCTCGAGATTTAGGCAATTCTTCTACCTAAAATACTGAGTTCGCCGTTTTAAAAAATTCACTCATATCCAGCCATTTAACAACACTACTTATATATTTAATATCGACATAAAAAGGTAATCAAATTGACTTTTGGTATATCTGTTCCTTAACATTTGTGAAATAGGAATAAATTAATGATTGTTTTTTCATAATGAAATTGATAAAGTAGATTTTTTTTAAAAAA